AAGAAGAGAGCCTAAGAAAATGTAGGATGTCCTGAGGCTGGCACTTGTGGATAAACAAGCAAATCAAGTTTCCAGTGTCTCTGATGATCTTTTATACAGCCTGGAACATGTAGACTTGGGAGGAGGAACTCTAAGGTTTGTGGGGGAGAAAATCCCCACAGCCCCCACCCTGGCTGTCCTCAGAGTCAGGAGGGGTCTGGTGGAAGCGGTGTGCATGTGCAGGGAGTTGGCCCCTTCTCACACTTACCTCCTCATCCCTTCCCCATGGATTTAGCATGCTCTGCAGATAGATTATTAAATGATGAATGAATGACCCAAGAATTAGGAAACTGCAGTTTTGTACTGCAAATTCCTGGGAATCTGAGATACAAAGAGACAAAAATGACATTTGATTTAAAACTGGGTCCAAGGTAGCCTGCTGTAGCCAGGATGGTATTTCGCTGCAAGTAAAACTGAAACTGAAAAATATCATGGACTACTCTTCAGCTCCCAGCAATAAACGCTAGACTGTATTATAGATAACTTAAATCTTTTAATGAAACTTTTCTTGTTTTCTTCTTCTTTTTATTTTTTAAATTTATTTTATTTAATTCTTTTTTTAGACAGGGTCTCACTCTGTTGCCCAGACTAGAGTGGAGTGCAGTGGCACAATCATAGCTCACTGCAGACTGTAACTCCTGGGCTCAAGCAATCCTCCCACCACCGCCTCCCAAGTAGCTGGGACCAGAGGTGTGCACCACCATGCCTAGCTAATTTTTAAATTTTTAGTAGAAATGGGGTCTGACTATGTTGCCTAGGCTGATCTTGAACTCCTAGGCTCAAGCAATCCTCTTGCCTCAGCCTCCCAAATTGCTGGGATTACAGGAGTGAGCCACCACGCCTGGCCTGTATGGAACTTTACTATGTGCCTTGTTTTAGTCTATTTTTGTATTGCTATAGAGGAATACCTGAGGCTGAGTAATTATAAAGAAAGTAGGTTTATTTGGCTCATGGTTCTGCAGGCTCTACAGGAAACATGGAACCAGCATCTTCTTCTGTTGAGGGCTTCAGGCTGCTTCCTATCACGGTGGAAGCTGAAGGGGAGCTGGTGTGCAGAGGTCACACGGGGAGAGCGAAAGCAAGAGAGAGGAAGGGAAGGTGCCAGGTCACCAAGCCATTGTGAGGGACCCGTCTCACAACCCCAGCACCTCCCATTAGACTCCACCTTCCTCCCGTGAGGTGCCATCAGGGATCAGATTTCAGCATAACACTTGGTGGGGCCAAACAAATTATATCCAAACTATAGTCTACTTTTCCATATTTGTTCTTTTATGAGTGTCACAAATATCCAGCAAAGAGGTCAAGGCAAGTATTACCCTCCATTTTACAAATGAGAAACTAAGATGCTTACCCAAGGTCACAAAGCTAGAGAGTATTGCAGCCAATTCTTGGCTTTATCCACAATTCATTCTCCCCTACTCCAAGCTTCAAATTGGCCATAGCAAGTTTAATTACGTCATCAGTTCTGACTGTTGTCAGCATACTCTTTCCTCAAAAGAACACAATTTATGAGCAGATTGTATTTTAGAAGTTTCTCTGAGTGGTGCAAAGGAGAAACTGACAAGTTCTAGAATGTATGGAATATGAGATATGTCCTTTAATTTTTAACAGCTTATTTGCCCTTTTCACTACGCTTTTTCTATGCTTCTATTTTTCTCCCTTTTTTGCCTTATCTTGAATTGCTGGTTTTCCTTATCTCTTTTTTCCTCCTCTCCACTGGTTTGGAAGTAATGTTTTTATTCCTTCACTGGTTATTCTTAAAGCTTATATATACCTCTCGACTTAACAAATTTTAAAATAAATTGATATCTCTACCTTCATCAATAATACAAGGAATTCAGAACACACTGACTCTAGTCACTTGCAGTATTGCTCATGTTATATGATCCAGTGTTAGTCATTGCTATTGTTATTGTTTACAAATATTTGTATTAGTTAGTTATGGCTGCATAATGATTACCCCAAAACTTAACAGCTTATAACAACAAACATTTATTATGTCAGTTTCTGTGGAGCAGAAACCTGGGGGCTGCTTGTCTGGGTGTTTCTGACTTAGAGCCTCATATGAGACTTGTGGTCAAGCTGTCGGCCAGGGTTGCAGCCATCTCAAGGCCCAAGTGGAGCTGAAGCATCTGATTTCCAAGCTCATTCGTGTGGTTTGGCAAAATCCAGTTCCTCGTGAGCAGCTGGACTGAGGGCACAGCTCCTCCTCACGTCACGTGGACCTCTCCGCAGGGCTGATCACAACATGGCAGCTTGCTTTCCCCAGCATGAGTGATCTGAGTGGTGGGGACCAGGGGGAAGGACAGAGAAGGGAGAGGGAGAAGAAAGAGAGCAAGCAGCCAAGATGGAAGCCATAGCCTTTTTATAACCTAACCTTAGAAGTGACCTCTCATTGCTTCTGCCGCATTATATATGTTAGAAGCAAGTCCGCACTCAAGGAGAAGTTGTACACAGGCATCAAAGAGTGGACCCCACTGGGAAGCCCATTATAAGACCATCTGCAATGGTATTTAAACTTGACCACATGCTCAGCAATTTCTCTCCTTGCATTACTTCCTAGTATAACAATGAATAATCCTTCCAGGCCTGTGAATGGAAAATATTCTGCCTCTGTCATAATTATTATTATTTTTTCTTTGAGATGGAGTCTTTATCTGTCATCCAGGCTGGAGTGCAATGGCATGATCTCGGTTCACTGCAACCTCTGCCTTCCAGGTTCAAGCGATTCTCCTGCCTCAGCCTCCCGAGTAGCTGGGACTATCAGTGTGTGCCACCACACCTGACTAATTTTTGTATTTGTGGTAGAGATGGGGTTTCACCATGTTGGCCAGGCTAGTCTTGAATTCTTGACCTCAAGCGATCCCCCTGCCTTGGCCTCCCAAAGTGCTGGGATTATAGGCATGAGCCACTGTGATGGGCCTTGTAATAAAACGTTTTAGGTTGTCCTTACTCTTGAATGACCATGTATCTGAATGCATTTGACAGCTCTTCCTTGGCCCTTCGAGTTTCTAATTGCACTTCTCCTTGGTTTCTATTATCATTAAAGATAAATCTCTGTCATCCAATGTTTTGGCTTCTGTGGCGGTTTTTAAAGGTTTTTCTCTTTGTTATCATTGCTCAGCAGTTTCGTGGTGATTCATTTAGGCATATATTTATTTTACATGTGTCCTGTTCAGGACTCTCTGTCCAATTTGAGTAGAGTTTCCAGACAAATTACAGGCAGCCCAGTTAAATTTGAATTAGGTAGGTATGACTCAAATATTGCATAGAACATACCTGTATTAAAAAATTATTTTTTGCTTAACTAAAATTCAAATTTGACTGGAAATTTTATATTTTTATTTGCTGAATTTGACAACTTGAAATTTGATGAATCTTGTCTTTTGTTTACCTTGGAAAATTCTCACTTCTATGTTCTTCCAATATTGCCTTGCTTGAAACCTCTCTGTTTCCTCCGTCTGAATTTTTATTGAATGTATGTTTGTATTAGTTTTCTAGAACTGCCGTAACAGATTACCACAAACTGAGTTGATTAAAGCAACAGAAAGTTACTTCTCTCAGTTTTGAAGGCTGAACATCTAAAATCAAGGTGTCTGCAGGATCATGCTGCCTCTGAATCTCTAAGGAAGAATCCGAGCTTTTGGCGGTTGCCAGTGTGGGAGACCAAAATATGCCACCCCAAAATATACTTTTTTGGCATATATCGAGATAGCTATTCAGAGAAGCTGCAGACACAGAAATAGCTCTAAAAAGCTGTCCTTTTGTAAAAGAAATTTACATCTATCTACATCAGTAAACCAACAGGCAGATGCAAGCAGAAGCTTTCTCTGAGGTCTTCTTATCAGCCTAAAGACGGGTCTAGGAAAGATCATATTAGCAGCCCAGACAGAGTCCAGAGATTGCAACAGAGTGTTCCCTTTTTTTCTCAGGGCTGCCACCTGAGAGACAACTGCCTAACAAGACAACCTTTAATTTACAATATATGAAATATTTCCTCCCCTCACCTTCCAAAACCTGTTGCCAACTCCCCCCACCAGAAGCCCCAAGCCCCCATTTCTTTCCGTAACTTAAAATGCTACCTAAGCTTCAACCACCTGGCCTTTCTTTGAGTCTCATATTTTGTGGGACTCCCTTGCCTTATGCATGTAATAAATTTGTGTGCCTTTTCTCCTGTTAATCTGTCTACTGTGACATTTATTTCAGAGACTCAAATCATCACATCTTCAGAGGGTGGAAGGAAAGTTCCCTTGACCCCTACACCAGCAGTCCTTGGCATTTCTTGGCTTGCAACTGTATTGCTCCCCTCTCTGCCTCTGTCATCATGTGGATTTGTGTTCCATATTTCTGTCTTTCTGCATTTCTGTGTCTTCACACGGTCTCCTTATAAGGACTCCAGTCATTAGATGCGGACCACCCTAATCCAATATGACCTCATCTTTGCTTGATTACATCTGCAAAGATCCTGTGTGCAAAGGCCAATTTCGAAGTCCCAGGTAAACATAAATTTTAAAGGAACATTATTCAACCTTGTAAAACGTTCAACACTCTCATAAGTGGGAGTTGAACAATGAGAACACGTGAACACAGAGAGGAGAACATCACACACCAGGGCCTGTCGCGGGATGGGGGGTAAAGGGTGGGAGAGCATTAGGACAAATACCTAATGTATGTGGGGCTTAAAACCTAGATGACAGGTTGATAGGCTCAGCAAACCACAATGGCACATGTATACCTATGTAACAAACCTGCACGGTCTGCACAGGTATCCCAGAACTTAAAGTAAAATTTTTTTTAAAAAGTTCAACATTTCACTGTTTTTTTGTAGTTGTTTTGTTTTTAATGAGACCCTTTATGGAACCAAAAAAGCCAAGGAGGATGTCATTATAAATTAAAAATAGAGGGATCTCGCCTTGTGGTGCTGCATAAGAGTGGAGTATGAGTCTGTGGCAGAGGCAGTCATGGCAGGACAAGCGTTTAGAAAGTTTCTTCTACTCTTTGATGGAGCGTTTGTTGAAAGGAGTGCCACCATAACTGTAACCAAAGGGGACATTATACTTCCAGAAAAATCTCAAGGAAAAGTATTGCAAGCAATAGTCATAGCTGTTGGATCAGGTTCTAAAGGAAAGAAAGGGTGGAGAGATTCAACCAGTTAGCATGAGAGTTGGAGATAAAGTTCTTCTTCCAGAATATGGAGGCACCAAAGTAGTTCCAGATGACAAGGATTATTTCTTATTTAGAGATGGTGACATTCTGGCTGGGCACGGTGGCTCACGCCTGTAATCCCAGCACTTTGGGAGGCCAAGGTGGGAGGATCATCTGAGGTCAGGAGTTCGAGACCAGCCTGGCCAACATGGTGAAACCCTGTCTCTACTAAAAATATAAAAATTAGCCAAATATGGTGGTGCACGCCTGTAACCCCAGCTACCCAGGAGGCTGAGACAGGAAAATGACTTGAACCCAGGAGGCGGAGGTTGCAGTTAGCCAAGATCATGCTATTGCACTCCATCCTGGGTGACAGAGTGAGAAACTCTTTCTCAAAAAAATAAATACATAAAAAAGAGATGGTGCATTCTTGGAAAGTATATAGACTGAAATAAGTCACTATTAAATGACATCAACGTGAAGCTGCCCATTCCACTGAAGTTCTAAAATCTTTCGTCATGTAAATAACTTCCATATCTGTCTTTTATAATAAATGAATGATAACTAATGACAAAAAGTAGAGAGCATAGCTAAATCTATTCAGTCTATCCTCAATTCAAACTATCCCTCATGCTTCTAGGTGTTTCTTTTGTCAATCTGTCCTGTTTTCATTACATGTTGTTCTTCCTTACATTTTCTATTTCTTCTTTGAAATCACTTTCATAACTTCAGACATACTTATTTTTTAATCTTTTAAGATAATTTTATTACCTCAATATCTTGAATTGCTACAGGGGTATTATCAACCCAGGGCCAATTTATATGTTACAAGCTTAACTTAGAGTTTCCTGCCCCATACAAGTAATTTAAATTCAGACTTTTTTTTTTTTTTTTTCTTTTCTGAGCCCTGGGTAGTGGCACATCAATGGGTTGGTTTTGTTTCCTCTTCATTGAAGGTGGTGAGTTTCAAAGATCTCAGCTTTATGTAAAGGTCTCCGTTCCGACTCTACGCCAAACCTCCTTTCCTGTCTTCATGTGGGTGCTAACTTAGAACTCTATTTCTGGGTCAAATAACTCCCTGCTCTAAGCCCTGATGACTATACCTTTGACACGCACTATATTGGTATGGCTTTTAATTGTCTCTTTGTTTCTAGCATCTGAGGATGTATGTCTTTGTTAATTCAACTATGTATTTTAAATAAACGTCCTATTTTATCTAACATTTGTAGATATTTGTAGCTGGGGAAAACTAACTTTAATTGATTCTACTGAGTAGACAGGACTGGAAGTCCGGTCTCTGGGGTTTATTAAAACCAAGGTAACTAGCTCTCCTGGATGCTAGCTCACTGTCCAAGTTGAATTCAGTGTCAGTCATCCAGAAAACGTCCCAGTTTTCATGTGTGAAGTCTGCTTATAGTGAATAGACCAGCTTAGGTCCTTCATTTAGTTCAGTGAACTCCTCAAAATGTGGTTTCAGTATTGAAATAATTGGTTATCATTCTGATTTGACTATTTTCTCTCTCTGCTAGGAAACCAGAGAGGAGTGAATCCTACAGACAATAGACAGATGTTTGAAATACTTAGAACATGGTTTGTTTTTGTTTTTGTTTTGAAGTGGAGTCTTGCTCTGTCGCCAGCCTCGAGTGCAGTGGCACGATCTCGGCTCACCGCAACCTCCGCCTCCCAGGTTTCAGTGATTCTCCTGCCTCAGTCTCCCGAGTAGCTGGGATTACAGGCATGCACCACCACGCCCAGCTAATTTTTTGTATTTTTAGTAGAGACAGGGTTTCATCGTGTTGGCCAGGATAGTTTTGATCTTTTGACCTTGCAATCTGCCCACCTTGGCCCCCCAAAGTGCTGGGATTACAGGCATGAGCCACCGAGCCCAGTCAGTTGTTTTAATTCAAAGTTCTAGACACATGGGAAGTGGAGGAAATGCTGGACGAGAAGGCACAGTTAGATGGTAGACCCACCTCTGTCAATAACCAGGTCCAATTCTAACTCATTGTTTTTCATTTGCAAAATAAGAGTGTTGGACAAAATACCCTATAGGCTCCTTCTAGCTCTTAGGTGATTTGTAAAGGTTTGGGGTGAGGGTAAACTGCTGGGTTAAAGTCTGTGTAGTCTGAAAGCCATGCAGGGGCTCTGATGGGCTTACCCCTGTCCCTGAAGCCGAGGCCTGATGTGCTACTTTCCCAGGGCTTGGTTCTTGCCTGTTTTTCTTGAGGCTGTCTTGGCATTTGCACCTGCTCTCGTGGCTTCACTGGCCACTTTCTCAATCCTGGCTATCTTCTCTATGTTCTTGTTCCCTGTCTCCTATGGGTCTGTTTCTTTCTGGCTACTCACCATGAGGGCAGAGATGCCAAATATCTACAAAATTCCTCACATTCCTGAAGAAATTCTCCCAGTCTTTCCCTAGCATCCTGTCTCTGAGGATACCACTGTGATTGGTGAGAACTTTCATAGATCTAGCCTCTTCATTTACCAAATCCTACCAAACCACTTTTCTTGTGAAATGTCTCATATGTACATTTTGTGCATTCAATAAATAGCTTTTGAGTTAGGCCAGGCACTGTATTGGACATGGATTAAACATAAAATAAAGAAAGCAGATCTCGGCCAGGTACAGTGGCTCACGCCTGTAATCCTAGCACTTTGGGAGGCCAAGGCAGGTGGATCACCTAAGGTCAGGAGTTCCAGACCAGCCTGGTCAACATGGTGAAACCTGGTCTCTACTAAAAATACAAAAAAACAATTAGCCAGGCATGGTGGCAGGCGCCTATAGTCTCAGCTACTCGGGAGGCTGAGGCAGGAGAATTGCTTGAAACCCAGGAGGCAGAGGTTGCAGTGAACTGAGATGGTGTCACTGCACTCTAACCTCGGCGACAGAGCAAGACTCTGTCTCAAAAAAGAAAAAAAAAAAAAGAAAGCAGATCTCTGTCTTCAAGAAGGTTGAGGTAGAAAAGGAGCAGGCAAACAAGTTCATCATGGCTCATGATGAGAAAAAAAAAACAAAAAACAGGCTTGGTAGTGAGTAACAGGGCTGGTTATTTTTGGTCAGTTACTTAAGGGGTCTCTCTGCAGAGAGCTGAGGTCTAAGAGGTGAGAAGAGAGTTCCAGTTACAAGTGCATCAATAAAGCCTGTAGTCTGTCTCTCTCTCTCACACACACACACACGCACACACACGGACACACACACACACACAAAGATATTTGCTGATTCATGAAATGAAATAACTAGCAGCTGACATTGAGTCTACAGCCAAAAAAAAAAAAAGTAGCAATAAGACTTTGCAACTAGCTTTGCCAAAGGTAGAGAACATTCTGATTCTAGGTGATGGATCAGACCTGGTTCTAGGAGTAGAAAAATTATTCAAGAAGAATAAGAGCGATTGATCCATTAAGGGGGATTAAATGCCCTCTTGGGAACATTAAGCACTATATATCGTGATTTCATAATCATCCCCCAAGCTTCCATCTGTAGTTCAACCTTTGAGTGAGCTCCAGCTGAAGGCTGGTTCAGTTCTCAGGCAAATACTATGAATCACAAGAGATAAGTTCACCCTCATCCCGGTGCACATAGTTTTCTTATGAGTTAGGATTTGAGGAGCTAGCTTTCTTAGTGCCTGAATATCCTTGTATTTTGAGTTTGATTTGTAAACGCTGAGATTAAATTTTTCAATTGATCCCTTTGGAATGAACACTTGGGTCCCCAGGTAGCTGAAAAGCACAGCGCAAAAGTCAGCATCACTTAACAGGCTGTTTGGTTCTCCATCCCCACCTTCATTCTGCTCCCAGCTGTGTTTACCTGAAGAACAACAGAGCCCAGGAAGAGGTAACAGCGAAAGACCTTTCTTCCAGGATTTTGAGTCAGGTCCCAGCAATGATCTAGATACCAAGGACACCCAAATCCATTCAAGGAGCCCAATTAGGCTCAAGGAAAACCAGAACAAGACAGGGACCGTGCTCTACAGGCTGTTAGCAGGTCACAGCAAATGTCAAGACAGTAGCATGAAGTGATTCAAGAATTTCAACTGGTCTTCCCTGCAAGCTCTTGACAGAGGAACCCAACATAGGGACCACCAGGGCTCTGCCCTCTTGCTGTTGACTGCACCACATAACAGCTAATTAGATTTTGCTTCCTCTGTGGTTGGTGTTATGTGTAAAGAATGAGCAGAACATCGGCGCTAGTGCCATTCAATCCGTTATGAGTTCCACAGTTTGGCCATGAACAATGGTGGCTGAAATGGCATTCAGATGCAAAAAGCTAGGACCTGGAGACTGAGGCAGCCCTGTGAGACTGGGTGCTGCTGGGCCACCCCTAAGAATGGCCATGTGGAGAACCTTTCTGAGGAAAGAAAAGCTAGAAGTCCAAAGTCCATTGGTGCCCAAGTCTTAGATAATGTGAAGGCATGAACATGGGGTTGCAGATGACGGCACCATTAAAATAAACTAGTCAGTTTATTTGGGTTTTATCTGGGTGGGGTGGTGAGCTTTAACACATCATGCAGCCAATAGCAGGTGCCTGAGCACAGTGTTTACAGGAGGAAAATTCATTCACCTATTTTATTCAGACTCCAAAGACGAGTCTATGTAATTAAGAGACTGAGAATTACACTAGGGACCTCCTAAAGACATGTTTGTGAGAGTCTGCCCAAAGCCAATTAGCATAATGAATGAGACATGCAGGAGCAGTGAGCTCACGTGTGTGCATGTTTGTCAAAGAGGATCATGGTGGTCTTTCATCTTTCAATCCTGTTCAGATCTTGGGCAAGTAAAAAGTCAATTAGAGGAATTTTTTCTCAAATATACATGTACATATGCATTAGAAAGGTAAAAATGAATCCTATAAAAGGTACTTTTTATTCTCTCTCTTTCAAGAATTAAACTTACCACATATAAAAATCAGTTTTAGGCAAGGGGGTATGGGTTGTGTCTTTTTGGTTTGTGTTCTCAAAACCCAAGCAAACATCAGGCTATGAAAAAGGAATTCAAACAGAATAAGTTTCCATTCCTTCACCCAAAGTGCATCAACTTTCTCCCCCAAGACTCACCTCCCTCTCAGCCAGGCACTGAAAAGACAAGAACTCCACCTTCAGGTCTTCTCTGGGGATGTGGGAAATGCCGGCAGAGCATCCTGGGCTCAGAAATCAGTCGTGGCACCTGGCACCTGCTTGCCCTCGCCAAATTCAGCCTGTCTTCCTCAGCTGCATTGTCAGCCACCTTCCCTCCAACTGCCCTGAAGATGGAAGTGTACCCAACCTTCAAGCCTCTGTCGCTCCAGACTGTGAAGGTTCGGGCTGAAGATTCATTATGAGACGAATGAGATGTTCATCTCCACTTACACAGCCTACGGCTTGTGTGTTGAGAAAGATATTGAACCAACAAAATGATCTTCAACACAAAACTCTATTCTCCTCTTCACTCGCCTTTATTTATTTATTTATTTATTTATTTTTGAGACGGAGTCTTGGCTGTGTCGACCACGCTGGAGTGCAGTGGCGCGATGATCTTGGCTCACTGCAAGCTCCACCCGGGTTCATGCCATTCTCCTGCCTCAGTCTCCCGAATAGCTAGGACTACAGGCGCCTGCCACAACGCCCGGCAATTTTTTTTGTTTGTTTGTTTGTTTTTTGTTTTTTTAGTACAGACGGGGTTTTACCGTATTAGCCAGGATGGTCTCGATCTCCTGACCTCCTGACCTCCTGACCTCCTCTTCACTCTTTATTGTTAAAGCACTTATTTCATTGGTTTCAAACTGCTTTAAAAGGACTGAATGTGCAGGCAAGGAGATTGGACCGCGTTGAAGTGTGTATCCCTGCAACTGGGTCCTCCAGGCACGGACACACGTTTGTAAGATTAAAAAGGACATTGCAATTCCAGGCATGGTGGCTTATGCCTGTAATACCAGCACTTTGGGAGGCCAAGGCGAGTGGATCGCTTGAGGTCAGGAGTTCAAGACCAGTCTGGCCAACGTGGTGAAACCCCGTCTCTACTAAAATACAAAAATTAGCTGGACATGGTGGCAGGTGCCTGTAATTCCAGCTACTTGGGAGGTTGAGGCAGGAGAATCACTTGAACCAGGAGATGAAGGTTGCAGTGAGCCGGGATCACGCCACTACACTCAGCCTGGGCCACAGAGCAAGACTCTGTCTCAAAAAAACAAAACAAAACAAAACAAAACAAAACAAAACACCTGCTGTTGCAGTTCCCAGTTATGAGTCCCCAACATGCTCTTGCTATAACCCATTGGATTAAAAGCAGTCCTTCCCTTTGGACTGTGGGTCCAAAGCTTTGCCCCATTTTTCTCTTTCCATTGCAGCTATTCAAGTCCTGAATGGCAATTTCTTGAGAGGTTAATTGGTAGTAGGCCAGCATTAAAAAAGTCAGAGGGGGCAGGAGTCCTGTGGTCATGGATTTCTGAAATGCCATATTAACATATTAACAAAGTTAGATGCCTGTCTTTATTGCAGGGCTGGGGAGCCTTTTATACGCTCAGGTCTTTTCAAATCCCCAGTGGAACTCTGCTGCAGTTTTTCTCAGTTTGACCCCAGCGCCTTTTGTTTCCTGTGGAATGTCATGGGATTAGCATTCCTGGCGGTACTTAGGGAGACATGTTTTCTAGCAGCCTGGGTCCCAGAAGGGCAAGTCAGGCACTCAATCAACAAGCAAATACACAGATAAGTTGCATGGCAAGTTATCATCAATTTTAAAATGTTATTGATGATATTTTTAATCAGTTTATTTATTTGTACTAAACCTATTTCTACTTACAGAACTCCTCAATTCTCACTAGCCCCATTTCAAGTGCTCAGGAGCTACATGGAGCGCCCTCACGGCCCGATTAGACGTGCAGAGCTCCATGAAGCAGATAAAAGACATTCAGGTTTAGACCCTTGGAGGGAGAGAACACAGAGGTCTTTGTGACCTTTTAATGAGGCCCAAAGACACCCCTGAGACTTTCCTTTTCGCACCCCTTCTCTATTAATCCACTTCAACAACATGAATTTCCTCAGTGAGTTGAGGGTTTACCCCTACCTGCCTCAAAGGAATTTTGAAAAGATTAAAAAAAGAAAGGAAAACAGAGCTTTGACTTAGCACTCAGGACCCATCCGAGGTGGTCGCAATTAAAAACAAAAGCAGCCACTGTGATTTGGCCTCGCTTGTACGGTAGTAACATGTGATCTATTTCACCAGCAGCCATAGCGTTTGTTTTGGAGACTTCAGTCAGAAAATAAACGTAACACATGTGTGAAAAGAAAGAAGTGTGTGGAACTCGGAGAAAGTCTTATCTTCTGAACACGATTGCCCGAGAAGAGAAGCCCCCATCTTTTAACAAAGAAAAGTCCATTGTTCATCATTTTGTGCAGTGTGAAAACCAACATGATAAACAATGATCATTTTAAATGGATCAAAAAATAACTTGCATAGACACTGGAGGCCAAGAAAAGAAAAGAAAAAAAAAAAAGAAAGGAAAGAAAAAGCATTATCCTTTTATCCATTTAAAGAAAAGAAAGCAAAATACATCTCATTATCAGCTCTCAATAGAGGATTAATAGGCTCTAAGCAGAAGCTTCGGGAAGGCTGCTGTTTCAGAAAAGCTTATCAGGTTTTTGAAAAGAAGATTTCCAACCCCCCTGAACTCCCACCCTCTTGTGTACACAACTGGAAGAATGGCACACCCAGATCTGATGGTGATAGCTTTTATTTGCAGAGATGGGTTAGATTGGAGATGAGAGGGGAGCTCATCAAAGGGCTTCAGTTAGTTGTATGTAAACCGGCCTTGTCCTCTGACACTGTTCTTTTCCTTGCAGCCCATCGAAAGATGTATCTGAATGGTGACTGGACCCAGGGGTGCTGGGGCGGGGGTGTCAGGAAGCTGCTCTTGGGAATCAGCCATCCTGCTGCTGTTCCTGTAAAGATTTCTGTTACTCTTTAAATCAGTAAGTGGAGACTAGGGCATTCTAATGTTGCAAACATTAAACATTCAAGCTACCACTTAAAATTTCTGCTGCAAAAGAAATTTCAACCACTGACTAGTTAAGGGGAAGGATCTGCCCTACCCTGTAATTCCCATGGCTAAAACGCGTGCCATTTCTTATTTCAGACTGGAAGATTCTGTGGGCTGTCCGATTTAGGTAAACAGTGCTGTGTTTGGCTTTCGTTAGGATGCTCAGAAGTGAGAGCCGTTGCAGTTTGACCCTCTCTTCCTGGCTGTGGGCTTTGCTGTGATACAAGGTAAAGTGAGGAGGGCGTCAGCGCTGCCCTGGAACCCAGCCCAAGCCTGTGGCTACGCTGTGGCTTTGTGTCCTGGGACTGCTTTAACAAATGACTGCAAACTGGGTATCTGCAAGCTGCAGAAGCTCTTCTCCCAGAGTTCTGAAGGCCAGAAGTCCAAAATCAAGGTGTGGACAGGCTAGGTTCCTTCCGGAAGCTCTGGGAGAATGTTCCAGCTCTCTCCTGGCTTCCGGCGGTGCCAGGATTCCTTGGCTCTCTTTGGGTCCTAGACGCTGCACTCCAGTCTCTGTCTCCATGGTCACATGGTGTCCTCTCCGTGCCTCCCTGTGGCTTCACGTGGTCTTCTTATAAGGACACCAGTCACTGGATTTAGGACCCACCCTAAATCCAGGAGGACTTCATCTGTGAGAATGACATATGCAAAGAGCCTATTTCCAAATAAGGTCACTTTCTGAGGTTCTGGGTGGACAGGTATTTGTCAGGACACTATTTAGCCTAGTCCATCCTCATTCTTCGACTCCAAGATGACATTTTCCTGAACTTCTAATAGCTATTTTTATCACTGCAGATTTTATTACCTCGACCAAAAAAAAAAAAAAAAAAAAAAAAAAAACTCTGCTAAACTTTTCACTGCTTTTGAAAAGCATTGCCTGTGGCTCAGGGAGAAAGCTAGAAGAACATGAAGCAAGCAGCTGCATGACACGTCCATGGGACAGGCCTGGGCGTGGAGCGAGGGCTCCAGAGACAGGAGGGAAGGGAGAACTGACCTCGCCTGCCTTCTGTGGAAGGAGGAGGTGGGAGCCACTCAGGGAATGCCGGGGAGCCAGGTAGGCCTGGACTCGGATCCTGGGGGTGTGAGGAGACTGAGGCAACCAGAAGACCTCTCAGAGACAGGACCAAGGGCAAACCACGTGGAAGCCCCCGAAGGCCATGTGCCACCAGGAGCGTCCTCTTCCCAGGAGCATCACCTTCCCAGGAGCATCACCTTCCCAGGAGCATCACCTTCCCAGGAGCGTTACCTTCCCGGGAGCCTAGACTCTGTTCTGCAGGGCTTTGGTTTAGTGCAAGGGGCAAAGGGCTGGGTGGAGAGACGAAGCTTCAGGGCAGCTCCACACCCACAAGGCCAGCCTGGCTTCCTCACTGCTGACCCGTAGCCTGAGGCTGCTGGATCATTAGCCATTCTGGGCCAGCAGCCTGTCTTGCTCTGCCTTTGCAGCCACATAAAGTGCATGAGAAGCTGTAGTAACTTAAACAGAAAGAGGAAGTCCCGGAAGATGGGCACGCTCTTTAAAAGAACATGAAGGAAAAGTCCACATAACCCCTGACAAAAACTCTCTCCTTGACCAAACTTGAGTCAGGCTCCTCCAAGCCCTCGACCTTGGTCCTTGTCCTTGCTAGGCCTGCAAAGCTCAGTTTCAACAGGGATCCTGCTGCCAGTTTATTGAGAACCCTTGATCCTCCATATCGGATCACCCTGGCCTGCCTTCAACAAGAATCTCCTTGATCAGTTTAGCAAGAACCCCGACCCTGAAATCACCTTCATCTGCTGAACCCCCTCAACCTGCTATAAATAGCCCCTTGTTCTTTTTTGTTTTTCATTTTAGTTTTATAATTTTTTTTGATAAGGAGTCTCACTCTGTTGCCTAGGCTGGAGTACAGTGGCCCAATCTCAGCTCACTGCAACCTCTGCTTCTTGGGTTCAAGTGATTCTTCTGCCTCAGCCTCCCTAGTAGCTGGGACTGCTACAGGCACCTGTCACCACCTCTGGCTAATTTTGTATTTTTGGTAGAGAGGGGTTTTCACCATGTTGGCCAGGCTGGTCTTGAACTCCTGACCTCAAGTGATCTGTCTGCCTCGGCCTCCCAAAGTGCTGGGATTACAGGTTTCAGCCACTACGTCTGGCTCCTTGTTCATGTATTGGGAGTTGCGCCTGATCTCTGTCCCCTGTTGTGACAGTGTGGACACCAATTGCAATTGTCCTGAATAAAGTCTTACATACCATTTTAAAAAGTGTCAGAATAATTTTTTGTTTTACACCCTCCCCAGCCCCACCCCCTGTCAGGGAACATTTAAGTACAGAACTTAGAGCTCCATACTAGACAAGGTTTCTCTTCAGCACAGAGAACTTCTGTCCTTGGCCGCACTCTGGTGAGGTCGGTAAGTCCTGCCCCGGTTCCTGGACCCGCAGCCTTCTGTGGAAAGCCCCCACTCGCAGGCAGCCACAGCAGAAGCAATGGAGGAAGGAAGCCCGGCAGGCTGGCTCAGCACGTGGTCGACTGAGGTCTCATTTCCTTTTTATTTTCTTTCTAGTGCTCCTTTCAAAACTGTATCTCTCTCCTTTAGAACACAACTTCTTTTTTTAACCCTAAGTCTCACGTGGAAAGAATTTGTTTAGTTTGCAGTGCTGCTGTGGCATGAACCTTCAGTGGGGTGAGTCATATACCCTGGGCTGCTGACTTGCATGAGGCAGGGACAGGGAATGTTAGCTCGGGGAGCTTGCTTATGTGTTTCCATTGTAAAGAGATGTAATAAAAAGGCACTATATCAGAATGTAAACTCTCAATATCAGTCTTTAATTCAGCAGTGTTTTTCTATAATAAAGTATATTTGTGTTTGTTAACAGAAGGAGGAGGTGGAAAAAACATAAAGCACGTGCAAGTAAAGGTTTAAAATACAGGTGAAACTCTACCTACAGAGGCACGACTCTAACATGCTTAAGGATGCTTGAGAAAGCCCTGACCCTACAAAAAGGCCTAAGACCCGTGGCAAGAATGAAGGAGTCACGCAATGCAAAAAGCGCATGAAGCCCAAGGTTCTCTTCCCCAGTGTTAAATCATCTTAATACAGAGGATTGGGCTTTAGGACATTCCGTGAAACTTGACTCACCGTGTTCTGTGTCTGGAAGCTCAATGTGAAGCAGATCTTACTTGCACTTCTAAAAGGAGGCATGTTGATGCAATGGAAAAAGATCTGATGCAGTAAGACTCAGAGTCCTAAGATTCTCTCTGTCCCTAACTGCCATTACAAGCTTTTGTGAGGATGGAAAGGTCTTTGCAGGGTGCCTGCGCACAGGAAGTGTCTCTAACAGGAAAGAACATGTTGTTGGAGCTTACCATTCTAGTGCAGCTTCCCTCACAACAGCACCAGTGGGGCCATCTGTCCAGATGCCCGGCCCTGTCCTTTTGAACATCCTAGATGCTTTGCACCCTCCAATCAATGTCCTGTGAGTTGCTTTCCTGCTAAAGTTAGCCCAAGATGATTTCTCTTGCTTGTAACAGAAGAGTCTTGCCTTGGTCAGTTGTTTGTTCCCTGTGGCTGCTGTAACAAGTCGCCATCAACTTGGTGGCTAAAAAGCAACAAAAATTTCTTCTCTCACGGTGCGGAGACCAAATATCCAAAATCAGTTTCACTGGGCCAAAATCAAGGTGTAGATTGGGCAGCACTCCCTCCTGAAGATCTAGGGGAGAATCCATCCCTTGTTTCCTTTAGGTCCCTGGGGCTGCTGCATCCCTTGGCTTGTGACCATATCACTCCAGTCTCTGCCTGTGTGATCACATTACCGTCTCCTCTCCTGTGTGTGTTGACTCTCCTTCTGTCACTCTTTTTTAAGGACCCTTGTGATTACTTTTAGGGAGTACCAGGCTAACTCAGGATAATCTCCCCATCTCAAAATTCTTAACCTAATCACACCTGCAAAGACCCATTTTCCATATAAGGTAACATTTATGGGACACAGGAGTTATTACCTGGTATCTCTGGGGGTCATTATTCAGCCTACTGTAGTTGTCAGTTATGGAGTTTGCTTTTATAGCCTATGTTTGCTGTACTTTTTGATGATGACGCTTACAAGTCTCATTGTCTCAATCTGGTGGGACCTGCAGGTACTAATGGCTGTGACATCTGGACAGGAGACAAGCAGCAACAGGAACAGGTTTGCAGGAACCTGGAGCCATTGGCATCTGCTTGGCTCTGCCTCGTCTTTTGCTGTTTATGGGTTATTGCCTTGGCAGAGCCATGGCTAGAGGTATAGAGTAACTCGTAGGCTTTTGACAAGAAACGGTTTTGACCCCATAGGGGAAACACCACAACTCTTATGTGGTTATTTCCATAGCTAATTTGAGTACAATATGTCAAGAAACATGGCCCAAACCTTTCCTATCAAAAGCATTTAGGTTATTATTCTTAAATGGTTTTGATGGTAGTATATTTTACTGTAGAGACATAACCATGCATTATTTAGATACATATTTCTGCTGAATTCCATTCCCTCTCTCCCTCAAAACTGTGAATGCATTTGGTGTTTAAGAACACATGCGTGCTCCCTAACCACAGGGGCATACGCTCAAGCCGCCCCAACAAATGCTGCTATTATTGAAATGGGTGCTCCAGAGTTAGAAAGTAGTTTTTATTTCTTCTAGATGTTATGCAGATTTATGGTAATAATACTTTGTATTGTTAACCTTTGCATGTAATAGTAGCATTTGTTCCTATCTATTGAAACATGACCATGTCTGTGTAACATGCATTAAATAAAAATGGAATGTTGGCAATTTTCAGCTCCTTTACTTCCTGCCAGCTCTCCCTTTAGAAAGCTAACTGGAAGAGAAATATATTTTTTCCAGTGAAATATAGAATTTGTTTTTCAAAGAATGAAACAAAAGTAGGAGTTTGTCGTTTTGTTTGAATTCAAATAATCCCTTAAAGCTATGGGACTAAACAGCAAATTTGAGGGGAGAGGGAGAGGGGAAGATACCATACAAATAGCTAAATTTATACCGAAAGTTCAGTGGAAACAAAAACAGTGTAGACACATGACAGGGGATGTCATCAGTGGACGCAAAATTGGAGCTTCAGATAAGGGGTATTTTTATTACATGTACATTAGGCAGCCTTCTCCATCACAGCAGAGACTGCAGGCCCAGGAGACCTGATGGATTCATTCATGGGTTCACTCAGTTGGTCATTTAGCTGATACTTAAGGAGCACTGGCACAGAGCAGATGCTAAAAGTAGCATGGTGAGCAAATAGTCAGAGCCTCTGTCTTCACTGGGAAGCATCCTTGTGAAGGAAACAGACATTAAGACCTTTCAGGTTCTTCTAGCACTTGCTTCCTGCTCAGCCACATTCTCCTGGTAGACACCTGATCCCCCTGTGACTTTGTTGCAGAAAACTTGTCTTTCAGATCCCCTTTGCCCATCGTCTGTGTGCTCCCAAGAGTCTTCCCTTCAATCCCACTGGGGGTCCCCAGCACCCTGGGCCAGGCCTCTCCCCATGTTACCAACAAGGGTTCCATGTGTTCCTGTGAAGCCAGCTCTTCCTACGGATGGGATGGGATCCCTTGGTATTGAACAATCACCAAGTCAAGTGAAGCATGAGCTCTTTGTTCCCCTTGACCTTGTCTTCTAATTGCTCACTGGTTTTTCCTATCAGCTTGTGAGATCTCCTTGTACAGGCTTGTGAATATTTTTGTGTGACATATGTGCCGAGAATATCTGTCCAATTTATCACTTTTCATTTGATTAGGTGTATAGTTTCTTTCCCCAGGTGATATATATATACACACACACACACACACACACGTATATGTATATACATATATGATAGACACAAATGACAAATACATTAATATAATTGAACATACACAGTGATTTCCTGTCAAGAGTAATATGGTCTCCCCATGTATAGTTTTCCTTGTCTCTAATTTTATTAAATTGTGTTTGCATTTAGATCTTGGATTATTCAAAACATTGCACTATTTGTACAATCACTCCCAAAGACAATACATAAAAACTTGACAGAATCTGATATTTCTAAAATAAATCACTCCAGACCAGTATCTTTTCTCCCTACGCACCCCCCACCCCACCCCACTGCCCCCTCCAGCCGAGACAGAGTTTCACTCTTGTTGCCCAGGCTGGAGTACAATGGCATGATCTTGGCTCACTGCAACCTCCGCCTCCCAGGTTCAGGTAGTTCTCCTGCTTCAGCCTCCTGAGTAGCTGGGACTACAGGCATGCGCCACCACACCCGGCTAATTTTTGCATTTTTAGTAGAGGTGGGGTTTCGCCATGTTGGTCAAGCTGGTCTGGAACTCCCGACCTCAGGTGATCCACCAGCCCTGACCTCCCAAAGTGCTGGAATTACAGGCATGAGCCACCATGCCTGCCCTCCAGACCAATATCTTATGTGAAAATATTTTATAGTATTCTAAGGAAAAATTCAGAGCAGAACTGAAATTCTACCCCGCCCTCCCCCGTCCCCCAGCAGGTGCTGACTTCTCCAGCACAGCCCCCTCACCTCCATTTCCTCTCCTACCAAAAGTATCAGTCTTTCTTCTATCCCCAGACCTGCCCTAGGTGGAAAGACTTGGTCCGATCTAAATTTTGAGCTTCCTGTTTCTTGTGGAGTTGATTTGCGTTTCACTTTTCTGTTCTAAAAGCATTATCTATTCATCGTAGAAAACAAAAGTGTTATAAATAGTAAAGCCTCCACAAATGCACATTATTGGAGGTCTCAGCATCTGACTCCCGTCTCCAACTCCAGAGCCATGTCTTTCCCCACAGCTGCTATCCAGGGATGGGCCCCTGGCCCACCGAGAGCCAGGAGACCAATGGTAGCCTTACCTGCGGGGAGAGGCGTCCCACTTTCCTTCCAGCCCCTGAAAGCTACTGAAGGGAACTCTGCTGCTCTGGTGGTGGTGGGGGGCGGTAGGCAGCCATCAGCAGAGCAGGCAGGGCAGCACCCAAGGCCCTGGAGGGGGAACCCAGAGATGCCTTTCAGGACATGTTGTCCCACACCTGAGTGTCTGATCTGCTAATGCTGCTATGCAGAAGGTTGGGGTGAAACGCCACAATTGCTCCACTCACTAGAGCCACGTAAACCACCTGAGCTGGAGCGGGTGTCTTAGTTGGGCCTGCCAGGCGGCTGGAGGATGTGGGAGAGGAGGCCTGCTTCTCATCCAATTCTCCTTTTCTTTGTCCAGAAATAGGCACACAATGAGGAAGGCGTCTGATTCCAGATGGCAATTGTCCCAGAAAAGCAGGTGCCCTGCACCAGTGTGGACATGCATGCGCATTAATCCAGCCATTTCCATTCGGGGTGCCCATGCCTTACTTCAGAAGGGGGCTCAGTTCACGAAAGGTGGAAGAGCCCAGGAGCTGGAGAAAAGAGTGTTAATGAAAACTGTCTTTGTTCTAAAGAAAATCCCCAAGGGAGCATCATTTGGACGCTTGGTTTTGAATGGATGGAGCACAAAGTGAGGCCGCATGTGTGGTCAGTTGGGAAGGGAAGCACCTGAGCTGAGAAAAGCCACAGCAGGAAAGCAAGTGGAGGGCACAGGTTTTCTTCTGCCCTCTCTTCCCACGAAGAGCCACCACACATTCACCGAGTACCACCCTGTGCAGGGAGCAAGGGCTGGGTGACGGGAGCCTGCAGCCGAAGGACCTGGGCATCCTAGGGACAGAGAACACAGTGCCTACCAGGGATCCCTGTCCACAGCGTGGGAGACGAGGAGCAGAGCTGCTTATGGTCCTGAAAGAGATGGGTCTGAAACAGAAGGAGAAGAACCCTTCTTAGGGTGGCCACTGCAGCCCGTTTGGGGGTCTTTCCCAGCCTGTGAATGCAGACAGATCAGGAGAATTGATAGGAACCAAATACAGGGGACACGGCTCTCCCCTGCTCTCTCTTCCACCAGGAGAAGCAGTGCCATGTGCCTGTGGTTATGCATACTGGAAATTCCTCACTTGGTCTGCCTCTTGCACGCTTTGCTGGCGGTGTTCCCTCGGGTACCGCGAGCAGGGGCACCCCCAGGGAGCAGAGGCCAGGGTGAGGCTCAGAGCCAAGGCTGATGCCTATAAAGGGAGGCAGCTGAGTTGGAGGCCACAGCGTGGGTGGTCCCTGTCACCGTGGAGGGACAGCATGTGAGGCTTTCAGCCCCTCCCAGGGTGGGTGGTATCACTCAAGGAGGAACCAACAAATCCCACCCTTTCCCCTTCCCTCTCTCTTGACTTGCCTCCATCTTTCTTGCCTTTCTTCCCCCCACAAACCTTTCTTGATCTCCTGCTACATACCAGGGGTGATTGTAGGAGCTGGAGACAAAGCAGTAAACAAAACAAATGCTTGTCTTTGTAGTACTTACGTTCGGATGGAGGCGAAGTCGAAGAAACACTTTGATGTTGGAGTTCAAGACAGTGCACTGCTTAACAAAGAAAGAGGCAAGTCAAGGAGAGAGAGGGCAGGTGGAACCCATCACAGAGTGGCCTCTCTGCGGAGGGATGTCTAGCGACTGGACCACCCCACTCAGTGTCCGTGTGGGGTCTGGGGCTCAGGACAGTCAGCACAAGGACTCCAGGGCTCCCCCATACACTGCGGCGCCTGAGGGTTCCTGGGGGGCAGCTGAAGTGTGTGCACCGACCTGGGCCAACATCCAGGGCCCTGTTACGCAAGAGAGAAGGAGCAGAGACTTGGGGGTGGGAGGGGGGTGGGGAGCAGAGCCACAGGCATTCTGCTGTGGTTTCTCCAGACCCACCTGCTTGGGAGGAGCCTGATTCTGCAGCTCATCACCCCTCAGCGCTCCCGCAGGCCCCGCAGCAACTTCCAGGTTTCTGCTCTGCAGCAGTGGGACCTCCTCTCAGCATCTCTCCCCACCAGCCTCCTGGAAGCTTCTCAGGCTTCTCCACCTTTGCTCCTCCACAGAAGAAAAGCCCTACACCAAGCTCACTGGGGCCATGCTGGGCTCCACCGGGCACCATGAACTGACCCAAAACCGGAACACCAAGTCCTTCAGCATTGGCATTGGGCAGGAAAACAGGAGCCAGGCAGGTCACCAAACCACCAGAATGCAGAGTTTAAAAATAGCCTCTCGGCACTGCCCTACTTCTCCTGAAACGATTCCACTGGATCTGGTCACATTTTTATATTCTGGGAGCACTCGAGATGGATTTTCACGATGCACATTAAAGCCGTCTACGTGATATTTAACCAAAGACAGGCAGATTGATAAGGAATCAAAAAGGATTTTAAGACCGAGGAGTGAAGCGTAGGGAGACCTGGAAAGCCGTCGTTGGGCAAAGGAAATGGATTTTTGTACTCTGGGTGTGTGTCAGAGGGAGGGCTGGGGAGGCACTATGTCAGGAAGTGGAAATGGCCTGCTGGGGATAGAGATAACAGAGCTCTGAAATCTGGGAGGAGAATCCTCCAAAGGCTGCAGCCATTGATCTGCAGAGACCCTGCAAGGAATAGCAGGCCTCCTCCAGCCCATTCCAGAAAAACACCAACTCCACCTAAAACCAATGTAGGAAATCCACAGGGTTCAGCCTTCTGCCTGGCCAGCAGTGACCCCTCACCCCACTACCACCATCGGTTTCTCCTAGTCTTTGCTAGCAATCCTCTGGTTTGAATCCAATAGGGGAAGGAAAAGGAAAGAAAACACAAGCTTTTTTTGTTTCTGTTTTTTCTTTGAGACGGAGTCTCGCTCTGTCGCCCAGGCTGGAGTGCAGTGGCACAATCTAGGCTCACTGCAAGCTCTGCCTCCCGGGTTCACGCCATTTTCCTGCCTCAGACTCCTAAGTAGCTGCGACTACAGGCACCTGCCACCGCGCCCGGCTAATTTTTTGTATTTTTCTTAGTAGAGACGGGGTTTCACCATGTTAGCCAGGATGGTCTCGATCTCCTGACCTCGTGATCCACCCGCCTTGGCCTCCCAAAGTGCTGGGATTACAGGCATGAGCCACCGTGCCTGGCCCACAAGCATTTTTATTCAACAAATACTTACAGAGTGCTCCTGCGTCCCAGCGCTGTGGTGGACATGACATCAGGGGATAGAGGGACAATGCTGTCCTCTCTTGGATTTTGTACTCTGGGGCTGGCCGCCAGGGCAGAGCGAAACAGAGAAAAAGTCAGGTGGGGATGAGTGCTATGAAGGGCAATGGGCCAGAGTGAAGGATAGGACAGACGGGAGCCCTCATGGAGGGTGCTCTTGGAAATCACAGACAGGAGGGCCTGTGAAAATTGGCGTCTCTTTTTCTTTAGTCTCTGGTGGGGAGGGGCGTGGGAAGCACTCTTTCTCCTGCGTGGGTCATGGCTAATACTTTTACTGGAAAGGGGTCCAGATCCGGTCTTGGATCTCAAGAAAGAAAGAATTCAGGGGGAGTCCGCAGAGTAAAGTCAAAGAAAGTAACGGAATAAAAGAATGGCCACTCCATAGACAGAGCAGCACCGAGGGCTGCTGGTTGCCCATTTTTATGACTATTTCTTGATCATATGCTAAACAAGGGGTGGTTCATTCATATCTCCCCTTTTTAGACCATTCAGGGTCACTTTCTGATGTTGCCATGGCTTTCGTAAACTGTCATGGTGCTGGTAGCAGTGAGGACAACCAGAGGTCACTCTCACCACAATCTTGGCTTCAGTGGGTTTTGGCCAGCTTCTTTACTGCAAACTGTTTTATCTACAAGGTATTTATGACCTGTATCTCGTGCCGACCTCTTATCTCATCCTGTGACTTAGAATGATTTAACCATCTGGGAATGCAGCCCAGTAGGTCTCAGCCTCCTTTTACCCAGCCCTATTCAAATGGAGTTGCTCTGGTTCCAATGACTCTGACAATACCTCCGCAGGATACCTTGATTCCATTTCTCATGTCCTATAGGGTGTGCCTTCGTCATCTTTCTCCCTTTAGCACACTTCTTTTTTTTTTGAGATGGAATTTCACTCTTGTCACTCTTGTTGTCCAGGCTGGAGTGCCATGGCATGATCTCAGCTCACCACAACCTCCGCCTCCCGGGTTCAACCGATTCTCCTGCCTCAGCCTCTTGAGTAGCTGGGATTACAGGCGGGTGCCACCACGCCCGGCTAATTTTATATTTTTAGTAGAGACAGGGTTTCTCCATGTTGGTCAGGCTGGTCTTGAGAACTCCCAACCTCAGGTGATCTGCACACCTCGGCCTCCCAAAGTGCTGAGATTACAGGTGTGAACCACTCTTTTTCAACTTCTCCCTACCCAGTGGAATCTTGCTAACTCCCACTGAGCGTGCTCAAATTTCTATCATCTTAAAATCTTGAGTGCTCTGATGCACACGTGCACACACACGTGCACTCACATGCCCCACAATTGACTCCAGCTGTGACTTCATTCTTTGCTCAAACAATTGCCTTGAGTTCTTGTCGCCATAATCTTTCAAACTTGATTACTTTTTTATTCTTTATTGATTATGATAAAAGCAGTATATACTTATTTTTGAAAAAAAATGTGAAATTAGCAGTATACAGGAAGAGAAAAAGATGCAAGCATTTCCACCATTGTCTCTGGGCCCAGCACACACAGGCAGGAGCCATTCATACACATCACCCACCTCCACATCCTCCTGTGCCTTTGTTCATATGTGAAATCCCATTGTTACACAGTGTTGTCTTCTATTCTACTTAAAATTGTATCATAAGCATTGTCGCATTTTAACAACAATTTTTTATGTGAAAATGTAAGTGGCTTTAAAAAACTATTCCCTCTAATGGATGTCTCATACTTGACTTAAACATTCCCTTGAAGGTCACTTAGTGTGGCTACCATGTGTTCCACATAAAAATAACACAGCCATCAACGGGGGGGTGCATAACCCCCGTCCTCATTTCAGCTTTCCTCAGGGTATGTTTCCCGAACAGGATTACTGAGTCAAAAGCTATGAGTTTGTCGAATGCTGTTGATACCAATTGCTGGATTTCTTTCCAGCAAAGTTGGCTGGTTCACATCCACATCAGCAGTTGCTGACGCTCAGAAGGCTCCCAGCATGGCTGTGGACATCCTTTCCCATTGAGTTCATATTACTGCCCTTTCCTTATCCAGCCTATATCGGTTCTTTATTAGGGAAACTAACCCTTTGTCTTTCACATTTGTTACCAATATGCTCTCACTTTTGTTTTCTAATGAATTGTATTTACCATGGATACATAATCAAGTATATTGTTTTTAAATACAAGCTATAAATATTTTTTCCTAATTTTCTGTGGTTTTCTTATTTTAAAATGCATTTGGGATTTAATTTTCCTATGTCACGGGAGAAGAACTAATTTTATCCCTCGAACAGTCAATTATCACACCCCACTTATAGAATAATCTGTTCTTTATTCATTGGTTTGTGATGACTCTTTCTAAAAATGATATAAGTTCTTACACGTGGTTGGCCTGTGTCTGGCTTATGTCTTTAGCCCTGTTGATTTGGCTTTTCTTTTGTGAGAAACATGATGAAACCTATTTGCCAGGCATGGTGGCTCATGCCTATAATCCCAGCACTTTGGGAGGCTGAGGTTGGGGGATCACTTGAGCCCAAGAGTTCAAGACCAGCCTGCGCAACATGGGAAGACCCTGTCTCTATGAAAAACTTTTTTAAAAGTTAGAGGGGAGTGGTGGTGTGCACCCATGGTTCCAGCTACTTGGGAGGCTGAGGTAAGAGGATTATTTGAGCCTCGGAGGCCGAGGCTGCAGTGAGCCATGCTCAAGTCACTGCACTCCAGCATGGGTAAGAGTGATACCCTGTCTCAGAAACAAGCAAACAAAACCCATTTGCAGTCATTTATTTTCTTTTTCTTCTTTTTATTTTACTTTAAGTTCCAGGATACATGTGCAGAATGTGCAGGTTTGTTACATAGGTATACATGTGCCATAGTGGTTTGCTGCACCTATCAACCTGTCATCCAGGTTTTAAGCCCCACATGCATTAGGCATTTGTTCTAATATTCTTCCTCTCCTTGTCCCCCACCCACTAACAGGCCCTGATTTGTTATGTTTCCCTCCCGGTGTCCATGCATTCTCATTGTTCAACTGCCACTTATGGGTAAGAACATGCAGTGTTTGGTTTTCTGTTCCTGTGTTAATTTGCTGAGGATGATGGCTTCCAGCTTCACCCATGTTCCTCCAAAGGACACTATCTCATTCTTTTTTATGGCTGCATAGTATTCCATGGTATATATGTACATTTTCTTCATCCAGTCTGTCATTGATGGGCATCTGGGTTGGTTCCATGTGTTTGCTATTGTCCTGCAATAAACATACATGTGCATGTGTCTTTATAGTAGAAAGATTTATAATACTTTGAGTATGTACCCAATAATTGGATTGCTGGGTCAAATGGTATTTCTGGTTCTAGTTCTCTAAGGAATCGCCACACTGTCTTCCACCACGGTTGAACTAATTTATATTCCCACCAACAGTGTAAGGGCATTCCTATCTCTCCACAGCCTCACCAGAACCTGTTGTTTCTTGAGCAGTCATTTATTTTTCAAGGTAACAATAGAATGATTTTGTCAAGATGAAGTGTTGGTTTGAGATTTGATTTGGATTTTGTTACTTATAAAGTAACTTGAGAAAAATTTATTTTGTTGCATCATCAGGAATGTGATGCATTACTCCACTTATTCAAATTTTATTCTTTATGTCTCATTACAATTCCTAGTTTTTCTTTTTTCCAATGTGCATCTTACTAATGTTATTCTAAGCTTCTGTACATTGGTGCTATTGAGAAGAGTATTCCTCTCCCACATCCATTCTGTGCTGATCTGATGCAAAGCTGTTCTGTTTCCCATGTTTGCATTGTATTGATTGCCTCTTATTAATTCTATCAGACTTTCAGTTGATTCGCTGAAGTTTTCTGGGTATATTATTACACATTAAAGGAAATCAGAATATTTTACCCCCAAATATATTTCTCTGACATATTTCGAGATGGCTGCCACAGGGCTGGCGGACTAAAGTGGCCCCACAAAGCTGTCTTTTGTGGGGGAAATTTGCATCTGGAGATCTTTAGTGAATCTGCAGAAATGGAACCAGTCCTGCCCTAGTCCTCATCTTGGAAACATTAACTTAGGAGATTCTGACAGCTTGAAAGATCTGAAAGAAACATTCATCATCTATTCTCTCCGAGAGCTACTACCTGTGAGGTTTCATCTACATAACAAGACCACCTTTATTAGCCAGCCCTCCTCTTCTCCTCCTCCCATCATCCATCTTGCCAATAGAATGTGATTGCCTACTATAACTGTTTTTTGGCCATGCTCTGAGCCTCCATTCATTCTGTAACCTCAAGATGGTATATTTAAGCTTCTGTAGCTTGGTGGGGGTTGGGGGTCTTCATTCTGAGGGCCCCTGTGTATACACACGTTGAATAACTTTGTATGCCTTTTCTCCTATTAATCTGCCTTTTTTTTTTTTTTTTTTTTTTTTTTTTTTAAAGACAGAGTCTTCCTCTGCCGCCCAGGCTGGAGTGTGCTGGCCTGATCTCGGCTCACTGCAACCTCTGAATCTATCTCCCTGGTTCAAGCGATTCTTGTGCCTCAGCCTCCTGAGATTACAGGCACGCACCACCACATCCAGTTAATTTTTGTATTTTTAGTAGAGGCAGGGTTCCGCCATGTTGGCCAAGCTGGTCTCGAATTCCTGAACTCAACTGATCTGCCCACCTCAGCCTCCCAAAGTGCTAGAATCACAGGTGTGAGCCACTGTGTCACGCCTTAATCTGCCTTTTATGAGTTGATTTTTCAGTGAAACTTCAGAGGGCCAAAGGTTTCGCTTTGGTCCCTACAACATATATGCAAGCAATAATTATTTGTATCTTTAATCCAGATCATTAATAACTTTAATTTTTAAAGTCTGCTTATAGTGATGAAAACTTACAAGAAATTTTGATGGTCAGAGTGAAAAAAAATGAATGTAGGATTTTACTGGATATTTTTCTAACATTCATGCATGATTATGACCAAGATTATGGTTTTCATAATGTTACTATGCTACATGTATATACTTTTTTTTTTTTTTGAGACAGAGCCTTACGCTATTGCCCAGGCTGACATCATGCAATGGCACGAACTCAGCTCACTGCAGCCTCCACCTCCCAGGTCCCAGTGATTCTCCTACCTCAGCCTCCTGAGTAGCTGGGATTACAGGCATGTGCCACTACACCCAGCTAATTTTTGTATTTTTTGTAGAGATGGGGTTTCACCATGTTGACCAGGCTAGTCTTGAACTCCTGACCTCAGGTGATCTGCCCGCCCCGGCCTCCCAAAATGCTGGGATTACAGGTGTGAGCCACCATGCCCACCCCATATATATACTTTCTAATACTATCCTTCCTTCTCTGGTGTAAACCAAGTGGAACAGTGGGCACCGAAACACAGTGCACGGCCTATCCCTTTCATTGACGGAGGGGTGGAGAGCAAGTCACTTCTGTGCTGTAGCTGGGGAGATAAAACAGAGAAGACCAAGAGGACTCAGGGCAGGCAGGCCTGGAAGCCTATTGAGGAATAACAGTAATTATACTCATATCATTAATATTATGTATTGAGTTCTTCCTACACATAATGCAAAGTGCTTTCCAGATCTGATTGCTGAAACAGCCCTGTGAGGTGGGCCTCCTTATCTCTAGTGTACAGAGGAGAATCTGAGGCTCAAAGAGGCTGAATCATGGCCCCACGTTGGAACGGTCCTGCCTGGATCTCCAGCCCCGCTGTCAGGCTACGCAAAAGGTCTCCAAAAGAAAACAGAGGCTTTGTGTTTGCACGGGGACTCGCACAGCTCACCAGGATCAAAGGCCAAGGAGTCTCTGGCAGGAATTAGGCCATCCCCCACCTACCAGCAGGTATTCCCGGGAAACCATTGAGGAAGCAGGAGACAGCCAGGCCAGGCCGGCCCATCAAAGGCCAGACGTGCTAGGGTCTCTGTTCTTTGGAAGGCACAAGCAAAGCGAGCCTGTCACCTGCTGACTTAGAGGGGAAAGGGAGAGAGGAACCCAGATAGCGTGGAGGCTGCGGTGGATCCACTCAGTGGGGGATCCGTGTCTCTCCAAGGGGGCTACAGCTGGAAGCGGCCACAGCACAGAGGGGAGAGTGCTGCATTTCTGTGTGATGAGCTTGAAGCAGGCATCCACGTAGATTTGTACTAGAGGCACCTGAAGACGCAGACGGGGAACCGGGACGCAGGTTTCCATAATGATGAGGATGGATGAGGCTGTTTCTTCCCGCCCAAGTCTAGTCCCCTTCGCCTCCCACCATTTGGCCTCGGAGGACCAGCTTCCTGAAAATAACTTCTGAACAGAGCCTGACCCACTCTTTCCTAGTCCTTGCCTTCAAGAATGTGGGGGCCACCTGTGTCGGGGCAGAGTCTACAGCGGCAGATGTTGTGTTTTGTTGCTCCAGGAACGGGCTGCATGTGGAAGCCCTTGCTGGTTTCTGTGTTGAGTTTACCGCCAAGTTAGCTCTTACCTCCCGTGCTCAAAGACGACTGACCAGCTTGAGGTGGACTGATGTACATTTTACCTCTTAATAGTCTTCAGACAGACCACGGACTTTCCCTGAATACCTGGCACACGGGGAATGTGCTGTGAAATTTGCTGAGTGAGTGGACAAATGAAAACATGGTCTCCTTCTACTTCCAGCTTGAAAGGTAAGTTAATCTAACTCGGATCGTGCCCATGAGATGTGAGCATGCCTCTCTGTGCTTTCAAAAGTTCCACAAAACAGGTTGGGCACGGTGGCTCACACCTGTAATCCCAGCACTTTAGGAGGCCGAGGCAGGCGGATCACCTGAGGTCGGGAGTTCAAGACCAGCCTGGCCAACATGGCAAAACCCTATTTCTGCTAAAATTACAAAAATTAGCTGGGCATGGTGGCGGGTGCCTGTAATCCCAGCTACTCAGGAGACTGAGGCAGGAGAATCGATTGAACATGGGAGGCAGAACACGGCCCCAGTGAGCCGAGATTGCGCCACTGCACTCCAGCTTGGGTGACGAAGCGAGACTCCGTCTCAAAAAACAACAAAGAAACGTGCCACAAAACAAATCCTAAGTTGGATTCTATGTCTGCAACAATAGGGAAATGATTAAGTAAATGAACGGAAAGAGTTATACAACATTTTTTTCAGGAATTTTTAGTGACAGTTAAAAACTTATTAAGTAAAAATGTCAAGAAATAGATTTTAAATTACACTGATATCAAGTGTGTAAAATACTTATGCTGAGAGAGAGGACTGGATATAGCAGAAGGGTGGTCGCCGGTAAGGGGTGAGGCTTCCGGAGGATCATGCTAAGTTTTCTTGGTACTTCCTGGTGTGATGCTGCACAGTGACTTGGTGATAATGGCAGGTTCCTGGAGGGCTTGAGGTGGGTGGGAAGTTTGCATTCTCAGGGAAATGCCTGGAATAGTTGTTGATTGAATGATGCTCTACATTCCTCAGGTTCCTCTGCAGAGTGCATTTCTTTCTCCCTCTCTCCCAGTGTGGATTAAATTGTTTTGAGCTGGTTTTGTCTGCAGCCATTGGTTATCTTAACTAGAGCTCATTAAAAAAACAACAACAAGGTAACGTGAATGGAGGCAATGTCCTAAAGTTGTACAGGAAACAGACCAGGGAGCAGAGAAATGGGTGTGGGGCAGAGGGGAAAGGAAGGCAGGGGTGGAAGATGGGGCGGAGGAGTCCAGCCTTCCCTTCCGGCAAACAGTAAGCAGCTTTGAGAAACAGGGAGGGGCAAACTGATCTGAAATGAAGAGGATGGCCTCCAGGATGGCCCAGCTAGAGAGAGTCCCACCATAAGTAATGCTCTAAAACCTTGGCTACTCCTGGTGTGGCCTGGCCATGAGCCACGCCTGGGTGTGTTACAGACCCAGGCTCTCAAGCCCCAGCCCCAGGGCCCCGGAACCTGCTTGTCAAGGGATTCTCCCTCGGGGAATTTGTGTGCATCAAATGAGTTTGATGCAACCCTTTCTGAGGGAGGGGTTTTCAGACCCTGCCTGCCTGGAGGGTGAGAGGAAGTGGCAGCTCAGAAAAATCTAGAAGGGAGAGACGGGGGTAGGAGGATTTGCCGGACACCCCAGTGCCCAGAAGCAGCAGTGGCTGGCTCATGGTGCAAGCTAGGGAGCCATGTGGACGATGGGGTCGATTGTTGACATCTGCTCTGAGACGAATCCCCCCAAACCTGTTAAACAATCAAATCTTAAATGATTGAGAGGTGCTTCACACTAATCTTGGCTCTTGAACAGTGGGAGCTGTTCCATAGGCTCAGTGTAATCAAGAACCATTCTCGCTCTGCTTCCGAGGGAGAAGGCGTTCACCTCTGCGTTAATTTCAGCTGTCTGGGGAGAGGCGCTCCCTGAACTTGGTTCCACCCTGAGTGGGAGGGTTGCTAGTCTCAGAAGCTGCTTCTAAGTTTCTCTTTTGAAATCTGCTTTGAGCAACCGCGTGGCCACTGCTTCCTGGAGAAATGGGAAGAGAAACCCTCACAGTTCGGAGGTTGAGAGTGGCTGATCCCTCCCCCATCTGTTGACACTCCTGGAAACTTTTGGGGACTGTGATGGGGCAGAGGGGCCTATGGCTGTGTGAGGAGCTTCACACAGGTTAGATGCTGACGCTCCACCTGCCCCCGGCCACCAAGGTGATTTCCTGAGCCAAGGATCCCTTCTTGGATTCTGGGTCTCCCTCACTTAGGAAGTAGAAGAGAAACTTCCATTTCCAAAGTGCTACTCTGCCATGAAATCCGTCAATGCAGAGTGGCAGAACAGAGAGCGCAGCAGTTCCATTATCTGATGGAGCTCAGAGAGTGCAGAAAAGCAAAGCGTTTCCCTTCTCAGGGTGTGTGTGTGACTTTTTTTTTTTGTCATTGTTAAACTGACACAGGGCGACCTGATAGGGGAGGAAGATCTGTGATTAACACTTTCTCACTTCGTCTTTGTAATCGTCATCATTTTCATTTCTTCCAGAAGTCTCAGGACTACCTTTAAAGACAGGTCCTGAGGGTTCACAAGAAACCTAGAGCTGGGCGAGCTTGCTTCCCACCTGCTGGGTTCAGCCCTAACGGCCCCTTCCCCAGTCCCGCCCGCCACACGTGCAGTTAGGGCACCAAGGCAACCCTAACACTTCTGAGGAAGTGGGTTTTGTGGGTAGGTGGAGTTCTATGTCCCAGAGGGTGAGGAACTGGGCGCCACACCCACCCCCATATGCAGTGGGTGGAGTGGCCTAGGGGGCAAAATCTGGGAGGAGGGTAGGGAGGACCCTGGGAGAGTGGGAGGGCCCTCTGTGGCCCATCCTCTGCTTCTTTCCGCATGCCCCTGAGTGCTGCCTTGATGTCTTCCTTTCCATATAACTCTGGTGACACAGAAGCTCCTTGTGAAGTGAGCTTTCCTGCCTAATTGAAAGACACCAGCAGAACGTGACTCAGGGTGGTAGCTGTCCTGCCCTGGCACTAGGCAGGTCATCCAAACCTCCTCGTTCCTCCAGATGAAGATGCTAAAGCATGGCCAGGTGAAAGGGGAAGGGCAGAGCCTGGGAAACTCACCCCCAAGGAGTCAGGTCCAAGCGGACGGGTCCCCAGGGACTAGCTGGGACAGGGGTCTGAAGAGACCGTCAGCAGGTCAACCTGCCCACCAGCCTCACCTATGCTGTGTCCCCAGGCATGGAGCCAAGGGACTGAGTTCCCTAAACTCCCTTCCCACCTCTGCTACGACCAGCTGAGCCTTATAGTCACTCCCTGTCCAGCCTCATTCCCAATAAAACTCAACCACCAGGGTCCCGCCACCGGCTACCACTTAGCTCGCTCTCACCCCCCATCCCTGTGACCTCCCCCAGAATCTCCTATGGCTTTTCCCACCACCCTCCCACCATCACCAGTGAGGCTTGGGCCCAGGGTATGTCTGAGCCTCTTTTGCCACCCACCACCCTTCATCTTTGTAGCATGCTTTCCTGCAAGAGGGAATTCTCTCTTCCCATTACAACAGGGCCTGTGGCTTGAGCACCCAGGGTGCATGTGTACAGACTTGGGGAGCAGGGGCTCAGTTCCAGGCACTTCTAGGACCCTGGACCCTGGAATTTATATAGTGTTCCTTTGTTTGGTAGCTCATGTCACTCATTAAGAATTGTTCCATTTCTGGCCGGGTGCGGTGGCTCAGGTCTGTCATTCCAGCACTTTGGGAGGCCGAGGCAGGTGGATCACCTGAGGTCAGAGTTCAAGACCAGCCTGGCCAACACGGTGAAACCCCATCTCTACAAAAATACAAAAATTAGTTGGGCATCATGGCAGGTGCCTGTAATCCCAGCTATTCAGGAAGCTGAGGCAGGAGAATCACTTGAACCCAGGAGGCAGAGGTTGCAGAGTCGAGATCATACCATTGCACTGAGCAACATGACTAAGTGAGAATGTGTAAAAAAAAAAAAAAAAGTTGTTTCATTTTAGAAAGATTTGGAATGTATATTTCTCCCAGAACAATAATTTCTTTTTATTTGTTGAAATGGTGTAAGCAGAAGTGTCATGCTAAATATCTGTACATGGTTTCCATTCTCTTATGTAAACTCCACTTTTATAAATAGAGAATTCAATTTGATTCAACTTTAAACAGATGCTACAGTTAATTTTGAGCAATGGTTAATATGTGTGGGAACATGCTTTGAAAATAAGTCAGTGATCCCAATCTGTGCCCTGAGTGTTTTCACTGAATTGAGCACAGAAGTCCAGTTCTGGAGAGATGAAACACAACAAAGCCAAGATGATTTGAAACTTGCTTTATCTAAACTTTTGTTCCTTTAAAAAATCAAAACATCATTTATTTTACTTCCACCCAGCCCCCGTCTTCACAGCTTTTGATCTTCCTACTTGTC